GAAACTCCCTTGACATCTTTCTCATCCAAAATAGAGTATTTTTTTCAACTTTAAAATAAATCCTGTAACAGAGACATTCATGTTGTTTTTAAAAGCAAACAATGAATACTCTACGAGATACAGAAAATAACACGATTACCGAAATCCAGTTTTGATTTTTACACTCCTTTTCTTCCTATGCAAAGAAAACTGATTTTTCAGTGTGTTCCTCTGTCACCTTTTATAATCTTATAATCTACAAGTACTATAACTTTCCCAAACACATTTTAAAGTTTAGAAATATAGTTAAAACAATGCTGTTACCAAAGTGGAAAGAGGAGAACACATAAATGTTGCCATTAAATCTCTCCCTTGCTATTTATTTTAAAGACAAAAAACAGTCCAGCCTGCTATGTAAGAAAACTTCAGTTTCACCTTTAGAAAAACAGATTCAAAGTAAGTTTAAAAAGCAGAAAGAAGATAGCTTATTTACAAAGACTTTTTAAAAGATGTCAGAGATTATTTTTTTCCTTTTTTTTTTTTTTTTAATAGCCTTCTTGGTAAAATATGCTTTTAAATGGAATGCTGTCAGGGAAAGCGTGATCCTAGGGATTACGTGCTGGGTTTTTATTTTACCTTTAACAGTGGAAGCTCTGTAATGAAGTAGTGGGGTTTTGGGAGGAGCAAGGAAGAACAAAGACAAAATTCGTTTTGATGAGTTGAATGAAGCCCTGCTAATTAAAATGTGTTCACACACAAAACAAAAAAAGGAGTGACAGCTGTAAGTACATAGGCCAGTAGCTACAGTTTAAATCTAACCAGGTCAAATTACCTGCTGACACAAGTATATTAATTTCAACAAAGTTCCATTATTTTATTTTGTCTTTTTTGTGGAATCATGGTTGTTAAAGTATACCAATACCTCAGCTTTACATATGAAACTTTCATGGAAAAAAAACTGCATAAAGAAAGCCCAAATTATTTTTTATATATACACCTAACTTTCCTACTTGTTATTGTCACTGAATATTTTCCCTTGCCCAACCAATCATATCTCATTCTAGTAACAGAGTAAGAAAGTTTATGTATGTTGTTTAGAAGCATTTTTATCTTCTCATAACAGATTTATTACTGAGTGGTATACAAGTAAGATAATAACAAATAAAAGCAAATCTGCCAGCGAGGCATCATCTATCAATTACAGGCCCAGTATGACATCCATTGTGAAAGTCTAGAGATAAACAACAGAAATAAACGATGGATGGAGATAGCTTTAAAACATTACAAAGCAGAAAAACAAAGGACTTCAGATACAAACACTCCAAAGCACAATTTTCAGCTAAGGAGAAACTTATCCCTGTGAAACACTTCCTTTGCAAGTTGAAAGACACCAGAAACTACGTTCAATTAATGAAAGAGGTTTGCTTTCTTTTTACTTCAGCCTGGTAAATAACAACAAAGAGAAGGAAAATTATTTTTGTGTAAAACTCTTCCTACATTATGCTGAGTTCTGTATGGACTACAGCATTACACAGAAAATAAGTTGTTTAAACAGCTTTTTGACTAAGAGATCCAAAAAATGAGCTCGTTTCAGCAACGAACAGCTTTGAGAAAGACTCTGGCTGATAACAAGCATCTTCGTAAACTGCAGCGCTAATAAAGTCTGGTTTCCCATGAAATCCTGTCTCATATGAACTCACTGCTGTGCAGCAGAGAGTATTCTAACTGAAACATCTTCCACAGCTAGAACATCCACAATGCCTCACTCCGGTGCCCATTCTTTCATGCCAAAGAATAGGTTAGTTCGTGCTGAAACATTTTGTCCAAGGACAACAAAATGTTCCCTTCATCTGGCCACCTACTTGTAATAAAATTCTATGGACCATCTTTTTTCGCAGCCAAAGACCTGTAGTCAAATTAGGCCACAACTGGCCACCAAGTTTATAGGGAAGAACAGTCAGGAAGAGAGGGGATGAACAGAAAAATAGATTGGCTGATATATATGCCTGTTGTGATGGCATAAGAATGCTTGTGCAATGAATAGTGATTGGCAGACTTTCTTTAGAAAACAAAAAACATCAATATTCATTCTCAGGTAACTTCCCCAGCACCAAGTTACCAAGTCATCTTCTCATTGTTACACACTTCCTCTAGTTCTCTGAATCTTGACTTCCTTACTAGACAGTGGGATGTACTGAAGAGGAAAAATGGAAAGATTTTCTGCTTTCCTTAGCTCACAGTTTGGCAGTTAAGGCTTTTTTCATAGTGGAAAGAACTGGACTTAAATTTCCAAAGGCAGAAAAATCAACCTTTCTCCCTCTCAACCCGAGCAGCTGGTCTGTGTACAAAGCTGTTGTATAAAAGGAGGCACTGCTGTAACCCCACTTGGTCTTGTTCTGCTGTCTGCCATGGGTGAATTTTCTGAGGAGACTCAAGCTGCTACCACAGACAAGGATGCTCCACAAATGCCTACTTGGTTGAGACCAAGATGGTCAGCAGATGTAGAAGAAAAAATTCATTTTGGTACATTCACTGGGATTCAACTAACTGCTGCTCAACCTTAGCCTACAGAAGGTTGCAATATTTCTGTGCGTATTCAAAAGCAAAATTTCTTACATCTGGGAAATGTATGTTAAAACTGGTTGGTCAATAGGGAGCAGCTGACTGGGTCTTTTGATGACCTCATTTCAAAATAGGATGGAATAAAACATAACATACAACAAGGTCCAAAATGTCATACCTGGTCTGCCCTGAATCTATATTTTAATGCTATTAAATTCCAGTAATATTCTTTAAACATAGCTTTTTGAGTGTAACTTCCTGGGGTTTTAAAAAAGGCAAACATAAAATAAAGAAGTTTTTCATACAGCCTCAAACACCCACATTAATTATCACCCAAGTTAAGATCTTTACATCTATCACATACTCATGGCAGCTGATGAAGCAGAATAAAAGCAGTAGTAGCTCGCCATGTTGTAGGGACCTGCTTCGAAGAAGCAACACATTTTGTCAGTGTATTTCAGATGTACTAGATGGCAGAAGAAACCTATTGAGGTCTCTCAATGGCTACAGCTATTTTCAGCTCCACTGCCCAGTCCTGCTTGGGCTCATAACAGCTTCAAGCAAACACTGTAAGAAAATATTCCATTAACCCATGAAGCCTGTGTTCAAGTTGGCTTCTCTACCTAAATGACATATGTAAAATTCCTTCACTCATTTTTCACTTTCTGGTGACATAAAGCATGATCAGTTACTATTTGGATGACAGAAGCCAAAAAGGGCTGAAACATTGTCATTGGGCAACAGGACTGGTACAAGTACACGCTCATCAGGCAAAAGTTGTGATAAGCTTGAATACGCTCAGCAAAAATAGTCCTCAGAAAGTCTGATAGGAATAGGGAAAAAATTCATCACTGTACATACCCCAAAACGTTTCGAGTTTAAAAGGCATCGTAACATGGTGAAATCTGTCGTATTTTCAAGGAGCTGAAGACATATGCCCAAATCATTATTTTAGCATGAGGAAAAAAAAGATTTTTCAAACCTCAGTCTTTGAATAGCAATAAAGCATTCTGAATGAAACTCATGAGTCAGTCACATAACATTTCAAGGTGAAAACACTAGAAGTTTGAAACATCTATAATTAACTGAAGACAAGGAAACATCAGACAACATAAGCTGAACACTTTGAATATATGGAGAACTTAACCTGAATTTCTTGAACTGGATAGTATGTCACCAAAACTCTCCTGCAGAATTCCTTAGGAGAGGGTGGAATTGGAAGACAAAGCGGAAAAATTGCTAAGAAACATAAACATAATTTTCTGTCTTTTTCTTCACTAGGACTTATTGTCAAGGCACATTATTTCATAACACCACCACCAGAAGCAATTATCTTCTTAAAATGACATTATTATCTTTATCCACTGCTAAAAAGAGACCAGTCATCATAACTCAGTTTTCCTTATGTAAAATGTAGCTCTGACTACCAAGATAAAAGACAGGGAGAAAGTATTAGCTGAAATCACAACTCAACAGTAACCAAAATAATAGAGCATTTGAAATTGCACAGTAATTGTCTAGATTAGTGATAGGATGGGATAGTTTCTTACACAAAGTTCATACCAGTGCTCCCATTACGGTAGTTTTTACTGTCCTCTCTACATGAGCTGCAATGGCATCCATTACAATTGGATAAAGTGCCTTCAAATTAAGTTCCACTCATTCGAAAGAACAGCAGCAGAGAAAAGATATGAAGTTCCCCAGAACTTCCAGAAACGACGGCCAAAGCTAGGTGAGGGTCACAGGGATGCACTTGTGTTCCAAGTTATTGCCCTTTCCCCAGAAAGGCAGATATACTAATTCAAGTGACAATGATTTATCCATAAAATAAACCCAAAAGGTTTCACAACACAAAGACCTTCTCGAACATTATTCATTATATAACTTTCATTCACCTTGAATCCAGGAAAATAAGTCAAGTGGCCTTCCAAATAGAAAAGAGGTTTATTACCCCAAAACTCTCAAAAAATGTTGGTAAGACAAAAGACCTATTCACAGCTATACTTTCAGTTTTTAAACTCTTTACAACCAATTTACAAGTAGCATGAAAACAGAATTTGAATTCTAAAGGACCAGAAGTTATGTAAACATATATCATTATTTAAATTACCATTTTTGCACTGATACCTAACTCTGTTTTTTTCCTAGTCTGATCCTTAGCAAAATTATTCAGCTTTCAGATCAAGACATCAAATGTCATTTACAGAACCACTCAATACTGACTTAGTTAATGAAGGCTTTGACTAAAAACATAATGTACAACGCCACTCCCTAAAAGGGAGAAACACACTTTTTAATTAATTTTTGGTAAGTAAAAAGAGCCATAAGCTTTAAAACATGCCATGATCCTTATTAGAAATATAAAAATAAGCAGAAATTAATAAACAACAAACCAAAATAAAATATCAAGAGCATGTGCTATTTAGTTATTCATGGTAACAAAAGCAAAACATTCATACCTGCACCTGGAATGATTGCCAACTTTGTTTCAACTAGGCCCATTTTAGCAGAAGAGGCTAAAACACAGAACATAAATGAGTTCTTACTATCACCTAACAGAAAAAAAACTTTGCAAAATATGTAATAATGACCTACAAGACTGTTAATTTATTACATTTCCTTCATAAAGAACAATCACTTAAAAAACATTTCTTTATGAAAATCTTTAAATAAATTCAACTGATCTGCCTTTAGTAAAAGATCCAACTTGTCATCAAGTGCTGTACCTTACTAACTTTCACATAGCAAGTAAGCAATTACAGTGAGTAACACTTATTTGCAAAATTTAAAATACTAAAAGACTGTTGCCATTTAACATCTTAAAATGGGGTAGAATTCTGTATCTGACTATTCTGAATTCTCTAAGGGTCAAACAGCTTTATATACCCTAAGTTACTGGCAACTGTTCAGGACCAAGTTTCCATTTACTTTCCAACAAATGGCTTTACAGTTCTGACAGCTGGATAGGTCAAGGCTCATCTTTTCAAGTGCTGTTGTCACTTTTATTTTATAACAGCTTAATTGCTTGTGTAATAGTACTCTCACTAACAACTTTTGTTTTTTCCCTGCAACCTGTTTAGATAAAATCAAATCTCCATCTAGAACACTTCAAATACAGAAGAATACTTTAATTACTAAATAAATTATCAAAACAACTACATAAGCCTTCTGGCAATACGGATAAAATGAAGGTCATAAGAATAAAGTAAGACATGTAACAAAACCAATCAGTCATCAGCAGTAAGTTGTTTGAAATTAAACATTACCAAGTACTTAAACAGGTTTCTGCTAAAACTCTTTAAAATAATTGGTTATAAACAACAGCAAGTATAAAACAAATTTTATAAGACTGTTGCCAAAACAAGGGTTAGACAATCCATCTGCAACACTAGTAACCCTATAAAGAGAATGCAAACCTACCTGCCACTCTTATATCACAGGCTAATGCAAGTTCTAGGCCACCACCTAATGCAGTTCCATCTATTGCAGCAATAGTAGGTACGGGCAGATTAGCTGAAAAAGAAAGTACCAATTAACACTAGCCTCATAAAGTATATTTCTGAAACACCGTTTCATCACATTTTGTTCAGTCAGCATGTACAGTCATGCTATGGGAAAAAAGTTTCATAAAACAAAGCAGGTCTAAAAATCAATTGCTCTGCAGAACTTCGGCAAAAAAACTGACCCTCCCTCTAATCACTCTGTGGCTGAATAGGTTTGCAAGCCTTTTTCTCTAGCTTCTGCTCACTTTTTGACCAAAATCTGAATAGTAAACTCCAAAACCAGCAGAGCTAGACAAACAATAAAACAGGAATACTTAAAAAAGGCACATACACAAACAGTCCCAGATGAAATACGGATGTCTGATCATGTGATGCTAGCATTGATGGAAGCTCGCTGTGTCTTAATATCCTGCAACATGGTGTGGCCACCAATATTACCTCTTTTCTCCTGTAAAGCAGCAACTAGCAGCTTCATGGAATGTGGGAAAGTTTTCAGGCCGATAAACAGATGCACATGCTGCCAGTACACAAAACCGGAAGCAGGGCTCCAGAGGCCTCTGTGACCATGGCAGGCTTTGTATTTAACATATCGTCAGTGTTCTGACATGGGGAAGTCAAATACACATTCAGCTTAAAGTACTACTCCTCAACCCCAACAAGTTTAAGTTCTCTCTTCACCACAAACTCAAAGAAGTTTGATGAAAAATGTGTTTTTCATGTGAGAAATAAACTTGTATATTACAGCTTTAATTATATTTCACACTACATTTACCACAAGCTATCAATAATTTTAAACTACTCAAAAAATATTTGAGCAGTACATTTTTGCTACTAAAGTTTCAAAGATAGACAAAAGCAATTAATTAGGTGAACACCTGGCCATACAGCTTGTTGAAATGTTAAACCAGCTCTTGACAGCAATTTTTTTTCTGCAGACGTTAGAAAAGCATTTTCTTTGTTTTGTTTCAGCTACTTAAATTCAATGACCAGTTCGTTCAGTCTTAGTTGGAAATTGAAAAAGAAAAAAATCTGCTGTGAAAATATAAATGAAAATGAGGTGTGAGAGTATGTTCTCTCTTTTTAAAATCTGAAAGGGTAATGTGACTAAAAATTATTAATTTAATGTATTAACTACAAATAATACTTCCTTTCTTTAGTGAACTAGTTAGTTCTAAATTTAGAAGTTGTGCTACCTAGCTTACTTTTTAGCTTTCTGACAGATACAATTCAGGTATCTTCATGTAAATAAAAAAAAAAATCACTTAAATGTTAATGTATGGCAGCATGAATAAATCAGTATACAAACAGGTAGTCTCTCACTGGGTAACAAAACAACATATCAAATTAAATGAAATGCTATTTTTAGCCGCAAATCAACATTCTTTTATGATTAACAACTAATGAAAATCCAATTGTCTTTAAGAAAAGAACAAAAACGTACCAATGCTTTTCAAGACTACAACAGATGCTTTAAATCAAAGTCCCTTAGTTGCTGGTTTAGATCATGATTAAAAGTGATTATATGAATCAACTCCAATGTCAAAAGAGACTACTGATTACTGTCTCCAACATCAAGCACTCGCAGTCACTTAAAAGAACCTAAGGTACTCATTATATTTGCCATCTACCACAGAAGGCATAGGAGACAGAGGAAGAGGAATAAAATCCGCTCTTTCTCAATTCACTTTTTCTTAGTTATATGAGACGGCAAGAAAAGGAGGGAACTATAATTTCCAGCAGGGCCAGGTTGCTCACCGAAACTCAGAATCCTGTCACCATAACCAATTTGCCAGTCTTGCAATCCAAGTTCAAGGATGATACAGCTAGCATTTCTCTTAAAGGAATCTGCCTTTTCCATAGGTAAATGAAAAATACTTTCCCCGAACACGAAGGCATGGTCATTATTAACTGTAGTTGCCAGCAGTTACTGCCTGCCTCTATGTTCCATCTCTCAGAGACTAGCAAACACTGTCTGGAGCACTATTTGCACAACTTTTCAGTACTCACAGTACTGTGTGGTGTGGTCAACACACTGGTGGCGAGGGATACCATCAAGAGGGACCTGGACGGGCTTTAGAGGTGAGCCCATGCAAATCTTGTGAAGTTCAACAAGGGCAAGTGCAAGGTCCTGCATGTGGGCTGGGGTAATCCCAAGCACAAATACAGGATGGGCAGGGAATGGATTGAGAGCAGCCCCGAGGAGAAGGACCTGGGGGTGTTGGCTGATGAGAAGTTCAACGTGAGCCAGCAATGTGCACGCTTCCAGCCCAGAAGGCCAACCATATCCTGGGCTGCATCAAAGGAAGCATGGCCAGCAGGTCAAGGGAGGTGATTCTGCCCCTCTACTCCACTCTCCTGAGACCCCACCTGGAGTACTGCATCCAGCTCTGGCGCCCCCAACATAAGAAGGACGCAGACCCATTGGAGTGAGTCCAGACGGGGGCCATGAAGATGATCAGAGGGCTGGAGCACCTCTGCCATGAAGACAGGCTGAAAGAGTTGGGGTTGTTCAGGCTGGAGAAGAGAAGGCTCCAGGGAGACCTTATAGGGGCCTTCCAGTACCTAAAGGGGGCCTACAGGAAAGGTGGGGAGGGACGATTTATCAGGGAATATAGTAATAGGATGAAGGGTAACAGTTTTAAACTGGAAGAGGGTAGATTTAGGTTAGATGCTAAGAAGAAATTTTTTATTCTGAGGGTTCTGAGGCACTGGAACAGGTTGCCCCGGGAAGCTGTGGATCCCCCGTCCCTGGAGGTGTTCAAAGCCAGGCTGGATGGGGCTTTAAGTAACCCGGTCTAGTGCAAGGTGTCCCTGCCCATGGCAGAGGGGGTGGAACTAGATGATCTTTAAGGTCTCTTCCAACACAAACCAGTCTATGATTCTACGATTCTACTCCAAGGCAGACTACTTTCTCTATGATAAGTATTTTCCAGATTTAGCTATGGTTCAATTTAAGTAGACTATTACACATGGCAATGAAACTTACAGAAGGAGTATTATAAAATAGCTTGGCTTCAAGAATTGGAGCCAGCATTTTGATCAAGAAATACTAAAATTCATAATTCAAAGGGAGAAAAAGCAGTTTGATACCATATGTTAGAATCATCACTTCCCAAGGATATTGTTTTCAAAGGAACACCTGATGTGGAAGTTGACAATGAACGAAAGGCAAAATACAAATTCTTTACAATAGCTCTGTGCATACGTATCAAAACAATTGAAGAAATTAATCCTTTTAACATGTTCTTGTGAAGCATCAGAAAAAGCAATACAGAAATTAATTAACAATTGCTCTGGATTTTAAACTGAGTTTCTAAATCACTAGAACTTATTACCAAGGGTAAAGCTTCTTGGAATACTCATATTTTGTAGCACAAGAGGCACTTGTTCATGTTTATCTGCATACTTTTAATACACTACTGACAAAACAGTTCAGCTCATAACAAAAACAGAGAGGATGTTTGACAAATCATGCTCTGTATAGTTAACTGAGTTGTATGCACTCAAATTTAAAGAACAATAAATTACGTAAATATACAGATCAACCTCCGCAATGATTCTACATAAGTAAATAACAGATATAAATTTCAGGCAATTGTTGTACTACTAATCATTAGTGCTAGATTCTAGATCTGATACGGGTTTATCAATGTGCAATCATGAGCTGCGTACTGAAGTCCTCAAAAAAAATTAGGAATACATATTAAAGAAACAAAATAATTCAACTAAATTAGACTGTACAACACACAGATAAGAGTAGACCATGTATACACACAGACCAATGCTGTTACAAGTAGTTAAAAAAGTAATAAGTAATAAGTAGCATTAAACTGTAGTCAGAGAATTGCACTGAACTACTGTAGTACATCAAAGCATGTAATATGAAGGACACTAAGTAATATGCCAGTTCATACAATGAATTAATAAAGGATTACATCACACATCTATTGTATTATAAAACATGCTGCATATTCTGTATATACACTTTCATTCTGCACATAAAACAAGTGTCCCAAGCAAATACTCATGTCCCAATATAACATCAATACTTAATGATATCACAGAAAAGGAAGGTTTTCAGTACAGTAAGGAAAAAGAACAGCCCATTTCAGTATATATTAGTCCTACGTGAGCAACAGAGCCAGATACAAGATGCATTTCTATACTGGAGATCACAAGAGTAGAAGAAGAGTAGAAACAGAGTTTGGATAGCTGATGAGGAGACAAACACGAACAAGCAGATCAAAACAATTTTTATGTATAAAGTTATTTGAGAAATAATCTGTTAGGACAGAAGGTGATATAACCTGTATAATAGGATGTTTATTGGCCATTCAAGACATGATAAAGGTGTAGTGACCAACAGGTAAACTGAAGAACTAAGAAATTAATGGCATGCAAAAAAATTCAATAAGAGAAACTAATCATAATAACATGATACAGCTAGTTAAGTCCAATAAACCATAAAAAGCTCAATAATAGAAAAGATTATATACAACAATATACAGAAACGAGCCTGCTTCCTACTCTGTAGTAACTGGATCTTCAGCTCAACTTCAGGAATGCAATCCTGGTAAATATATGTTACACATAGTTTTAGATTAGGCTAACCAGCAGTATCTCACAGTCTTGGGCTGCCTCCTGCTTTCCTGTGACACTCCGTTACTGAAAGACATAAAGAGTAGAGTAAACTAAACTCTTCCACAATTTTGTCATCAGTACAGCATGACACAGGAGGAGGACTTTGCATTTGAGCACATAAAAACACGTAATGTGTGGGAAACAGTCTCAAAGAACCACAAGTGTTTTGAACCAGGTAGTTGTTATTTCATCTTTAAGTGACTTTCCACATAACATCCACTGCTGATGACTAACAAGGGATTTCCCTTCTGCCTAGAGATGATTATACGATGAATGAAAGACCAGCATGTGAATACAGACAACAGAATTGGACCAAGAAATAGTTTCTCAGACGTGTGTCACAAACTCCACTCAGCTGACACTGCAGAC